AGGACATAAAGGGGTATTCCAGTATGATAGCAAAATTCTATTTATTGACCTAGGTACTGGTTATAAGACTATTTGTTTTATTATAATTCATGGAGTAGTGCATTTATGTTTTGCGCACTTTCAATCAAGTTTTAGTGGCTTTTAATGTTTGTTTTGGTTGGTATTCTCATATGTGCTAATGTCAAAATATTGACTTACACAGTTTTTCTAATGTTAAAATAAATCATAACATTAGAAAATACCCATTTAAATGTAAAATTATATTTAAAAATCTAGCAAATAGGGATAGTGCCTGATTGAATACTAGTTATTATGTTCCTACTATGTGGAATTACGGCCTAAAATGAGCAAGATTTCTATACTACCATTGAAAGATATATTCTACAGATCCTTACATATTCTGATTTGAAAAATGCCTCTTTAAGAAAAATAGGAGATAGCTGGCCGGGCGCGGTGGCTCACGCCTGTAATCCTAGCTCTTGGGAGGCCGAGGCGGGCGGATTGCTCAAGGTCAGGAGTTCAAAACCAGCCTGAGCAAGAGCGAGACCCCGTCTCTACTATAAATAGAAAGAAATTAATTGGCCAACTGATATATATATAAAAAATTAGCCGGGCATGGTGGCGCATGCCTGTAGTCCAGCTACTCGGAAGGCTGAGGCAGAAGGATCACTCAAGCCCAGGAGTTTGAGGTTGCTGTGAGCCAGGCTGACACCACGGCACTCACTCTAGCCTGGATAACAAAGCGAGACTCTGTCTCAAAAAAAAAAAAAAAAAAAACACAACCAAAATATCTAACATTAAAGAAATAATTCAGTAAACTATAATGATATTATGACATTGCAAAAATTACATTCTAAGAGAATACATAACTGACATAGAAAAATGCTTACCTATATATAATAGTAAGTAAAAATTATAATACAAAATAGTATATTGAAATTATGGAAAATTTATATTTATACATTTTAGTATTTTATGTAAGAATATATATACTTTATAATCATTTTAAATATCTTTATGTTAAAAGAGAAAAATTCTTCTGTTCTTGTGATACTGCTCTTTGGAGGATAGGCTCAAAAGCACACTCCAAATCATGGTTTGGATGTGGCAAAGTCATAACTTGTATCCAAAATGTTTGTAACCCCATAATATCCTGAAATGAATGAATGAATGAATTAGAAAAATTAAGAGAAAGTCTATCTACCAGATAGGCTATGGAAATCCTCAAGTCAAAATATCAGTGTAAATATATATTTTTTTAATTTCAGCATATTATGGGGGTACAGATTTTAAGGTTTCAATAAATGCCCTCCCCCCCCAGTGTAAATATTTTTGTAAGTAATTCTGTACAGTATTTTTAAAAAATAGTAGTCCCCCCTTATCCGAGGGGGATACATTTCAAGACCACCAATGGATGCCTGAAACCATGGAAAAGTACTGAATTAGAATTATATACTATTAATATTTTCTTTCTTATACATATATACCTATGATATAATTTAATTTATAAATTAGGCATATGGAGAGATTAATAATAAACTAGAATAATTATAACAATATACTATAATAAAAGTTATGTGAATGTGGTCTCTCTGTCTCTCAAATTATCTTATTGTACTGTATTCACCTATTTTTGGACCACAGTTGACCATGGGTAACTGAAACCACAGAAAGTGAAACCATGGATAGTGTGAATGAAAATTTGTACTGGCTTTGGAGCAGACAGACAAATCAATTTGCCTCTACCACTTATTATTTAATGTAATTTTATCTAAGTAACTCTCTCAGGCTCAGTTTACTCACCTATAAAATAGGAATGATGAACCCCAAATAGAATGGTTGGTATGAGAATTAAAGATTATTGAAAAATCCCTAGTTCAATAAACATTAGCTATTATCATTACTGTTCAATGTACAGTACTTGATTGAATATAAATAATCAGTAAAGTAACAAAGTATCAATAGAAAAATACATATGACAATAATTTGAAATACAAGTGACAAATCTACAACACAGTTATGCTGACATAATCTTGTAAGAGGCTTAGCCATTATCATTAATTTAAAAACCACAATGCTCCTCAGGAGTGTAAAATGATTTCCAAACTTTGTTCATCATGACTGATAGACCTACTATACCCACATATCACTGAAACAATTTATGAAACAACACTTACCCTTACTATATGTGATGCATACTGATACCTCCTTTTCTTTTTATATGTTCTTTTTCCTTTTCTGTTCTGTTTCCTTTCATGTTATTTTTATATTGCTACTGTAATTCACCAAATCAATCCACTAATGAGTTGCCTTTTACAGTTTAAAAAGCACTGCTCTGAAATGCATCTAGAAGAGTAAACATTTCTTAACAGTGAAGCACCTCAGCTTTGTGATTAGTGTCATCAAGTCAGTTAGATCTTTTAGAAATAGGTCATATTTAGGAAGATACTTAAAACATTCTTAAAGTAATAGAAGAGGATTTAATATAGTAAACAATATCTATAATGAGCTGTTAATTAAATACGATATAATTAAATGATTGTGGTTAATTCCATATTCCACCAGGGGATGAAATTATTCTTAAACATTGTTAATTAACTAAAAAACATTTTAACAGGAATTGGTTTTTTCCCAAAGCACAACATTTTAAAAATATTTTTTATTGAGATATAATTTGCATACCAAAAAATTCACTCTTTTAAAGTGTAAAACACAATGATTTTTAGTATATTCACAATTTGTACAACCATAACCACTAATTCAAGAACATTTTATCACCCCAAAAAGAAACCCTATACTAATTACCAGTCAGTTACCTACCCCCAGACCCCTTGCAATCACTAATCTGCTTTCCATCTCTATGGATTTACCTATTTTTCAAATATTTTTTCTTCCCTTTCCTTTCTTCCTCTTCTTCTGGGACACCCATTATACATATGTGGGCATACTTGATGGTATTTTATAGATCTCTGATGCTCTGTTCATCTTTCTTTATTCCTTATTGTCTGTTTCTCAAACTGGGTAATCTTAATTGACAAGATATTGACATATCTTCTACTTTGTCAGTTCTTCTGCCTGCTTCAATCTACTGTTGAACTCTAGTGAATTCTTCATTTCAGTTATATTTTTCAACTCAAGAATGTCTATTTTTTTTGTTCTTTTTTCTTTAATAGTTTCTGTCCCATATTGATATTCTTTATTTGATGAGGCATCATTCTCATACTTTCCTCTATACATATGGTTTCCTTTAGTTTTTTGAACATATTTAAAATAGTGGATTTAAAGTCTTTGTCCAGTAAATCTACTCTCTAGACTTCATGAGGGAACATATTTATTAATTGCATTTTTCTTATTAAGAGCCACACTTTCTTGTCTCTTTGCATGTCTTGTAATTTTTTGTTGGAAACTGAACATTCTAAAAAATATAATGTGGCCACTCTGTATATCAGATTTTCTCCCCTCCCCAGGGTTTGTTGTTATAGCTATTTTTGTTGCTTTTTGCTTGTTCAGTGACTTTTCTGAAATAATTCTATAGATATATAGTTTTTGTCCTGTGTAGCCACTGAAATGTCTGCTGAGTTAGCTTAGTGTTCAGCTAATGATTGGACAGAGATTTCTTTAAATGCCTGGAATCAATAAATCTTCCAGCCTCTGTTGAAAGGCTGTGTGTGTGTGTGTGTGTGTGTGTGTGTGTGTGTGTGTGTGTGTGTGTGTGTTGGGGTATGTCTCCAACACTCAGACAGTCAGATTACAACTCTGTTTTATCCTTCACTTCCTGCTTGTGCAGGGTCTCAAGGTTAGCCAGAGGCAAGAGCTTAGGGCCTTCGCAAGTCTTTCTTGAGTATGTACACAGACTTATGAATGCACACAGTTACACATGTGCATGGTCTTCTAGATTTCAAGAAATATGTTGGAGTTTATTAACACTCATTTCTCAGCTTTTCCTTTTAAACTTCCTGCCTCAACTGTTATCTGTGGATTTAGGCAGCTATGAAGTTAAATAGGAGTTTCTAATTGTTTAAGCAAATGCCCCTAGGGAAAAGGCTATTCACACTGGATCATCTCCAAGTCAGGTCAAACAAAGACCTGACTGTTTAAATAATGAAAATTCTCTAGGAATGAATCAGTCTTTAAAGGAGTTCCAACTGTGGTGTCTACCAGGCTGCTGGTTTTCACTGCAATTGTGGGCTATTGGTTTTCATGGATACCAAGGACCTGGGGAAGGAGGAGTAGGGGAGAGAGCGAATAGGCATTAGAGTAAGTTAAAATGCTACAAAACTGTCGTTACAAAGTTTTAGCTGTTTGTTTGTTGTTGTTTTATAAATTCACCAGGATAGCTGCAAGTCTTTAGTTAATTCGCAGAGTTTCGAAAAAAGTTGCTTCAGACATTTTTGCCAATTTCTTAATGCTTTTATGGAGGAGAGAAGGAGAAAACAACAGGTTCTAACTTTGTCATTTTTTTGACATCATTCCCTAACTAAAATATTTTTAAAAGCACATATTGTGGGGAATTGAAGTGGCCTTTTACTATCTCAAGTAAGAGTGTAAGGAAGGTTGGCTTTATAAAGATACATAAGTCAATAAGCAAAAAAAGATCCCATGGAAATCTAAGAATAAGTATTCATGGATCTTTATTGCTATATTGTCCCTACTCCATGATCCTCCTCTATTTTCTTAGTTTCCATTCAAATTCCAAGGGCAAGTATCAGAATGGTCCATTTCATCTTTAGATAAACCTGATGGGCTGCTTCCCTGTCTTTGGACTATCTACCCTTGACTTGTATGTCTCTGTAGCCATGGTGAGATGATACGCTGTAATATATAGCTGCCTAAGATTGCACTGTAGGCAAAAACTACGCACAGGAAGATTTTCATGTGAAGGACTGTGGACAAGGGGAACGAGGTGCAACATATAGCTCTCCCTGTCTGGCATATAATGTTTCTGTTGCACATACACAATGGTGACTGAAAAATCATGATTAACACTTATTTTATTTCAGGGGAAGATATAATCCAGTTAATCAGAAGACAATGAATGCCAAGAGAGGACCAACAAAAAAGGTTACAAGATCAAACCATCTTCCAAAACTCAATCCATGATTCCAGAACTTGTGGATTTCTATTTCTTCGGTTTTTTTTTCCCCATCTATAATATTCAACTTTTGAAATTAATGTTCAACACATTTTCCAGGAAATGAAATAGAAAAGAAAGAATAGCCAAACTTCTTTTTAGATCCTTTTCCAGAGGTTTGTTCCTTTGTCTGCATGAATGTAATTTTCTCTAGTGACCCTAAAATATCTAATAGAAGTATTTGTGATTTTTGAAATATCCTAGGAAATCTGAAGGTTCGCATCATTACACTTGCTTTTAATAATATCCATGTTCTGCTCTGATAGTAACATTGCTATTATGTTTGGTTTCTCGTTGGCTATTAGCTAAAAATGGGAGTTCATAAAACCTATTTGCTATTTCAGGCTATATCATGCACGGTTTTTTAAATCTCAGCTTTAAACAAAGGTCCATTTTAAATTTTGTCTTGAAATATCATGGTATTGTGGAAACAACCCTCAATCATGAATCAGCTGCTTATGGTCCCCACTCTGCCATGAATGTAGGAGATCTGGGGCAAGTCCCTTTATCTCATCTTCATTTCCCATACCTGTACAATGACTGAGGCACACTATATAATTTCTAAGTTTTCTTACCATTCTAGAAAATCAATGCTTATTTAATCACAAGGTCCTGCCGCTTAGCCCATGGTAACTTAAGTCATTTTGTGATGTTTATTTATTTGTAGTGATAGCCTAGTCCTTTGGACCAAATTTTGCAAGTGTTCACAATACTCAAGTCCAGAAGTGGAGATAAATGAGGATAAGAGAAGGGTTCTTTTTAAACATTTATAAAATGTATTGAATACTCCTATTCATATTTAGACTGTTTTTGTCATTTAGATGATTTTTGTAACTCTCACCTAGGTCTGGAACATACAAATAACTTATTTACCCACTTTAACAAGTGAAATTATAGGAATTTAAATTTGCAGAAATCACTCAGAGGTAATATAATTTCCAGTTAATGATGTTCTTACCTTATCTCTGGCACTAAATCTACATTTTATTCAGTATCACCAGTAATGAGTACCAAATGCATTGCTATAATTACCTCTCTAGATGTTTACTTTCTTTCTTTAAGGAAGAAAGCATAGATTTCATATAGCCAAAAAATTCTTTTATGTGACTTTAAAATGTAATGCACAAAATCATAAAGTAACTTTCTATAAATTATTCTATATTGGAACTGGAAATATTTTCTTCTGTTCTTAAGCCAACTACAGATATTTAGGTACCTTGACTCATATTATTGGTCAAATACGAGATTTTTATGCTTTTTACCATCTTAGCATTAGAAGAAAATTAATAATTTAAATATAGTAATAATTATAATTATCAATGAAAAATAAACAAGTATATTTCTTTCATACAGAAGTAAGACATTGTGGGAACTGGACTAAGGAACATTTAAAGTTATCTCAATCACTGGGATGGAATATTAATTGAACACCTTATCACAGGGATTCTATCACATTTAAGGCTAGTTTTAAGCTTTGAGGGAATTTGTAATGTGAAGTTTGATAAGAAAATGCAATTATTTATTGTAACCAGAGCAAAAATGACAGTTTGGAGTCTTTATTTTGTTTGATACTCAAATATGTGTTTATACCTATGTGTTGATATCAATATTTTTTATTGGAAAGTTCAGAATTCATAAAGCAAAAAATCAGTAAAACAATATTTAATGTATTTCAGAATTTAAAATGCCTAAATATACTACAAAATGTCAAGAAAAAGCATTTACAAAAGCAAATGTTGCTATAAATAAAAAGACAGGCAATAGTGAGTATGGTGAGGATGTGGAGAAGCCAGAACCCTCATGCATTACTGGTAGGATGTAAAGTGATATAGCCACTTTGGAAAATTGTCACTTCCTCAAAAGGTTAAACATAGTTACCATATAACACTGGCAAGTCCACTCTTATGTATACACCCAAGAGAAATGGAAATCTACATCCACATAAAAACATATACATGAAGGTTTTTAGTACCATTATTCAAATAGCCAAAAAGGAGAAACAGCCCAAATGTCAATCAACTTATGAATGAACAAAGTATGATGCATCTAAACAATGGATATTATTTGGCAATAAAAAGGAATGAAATGATGATATATGCTACAACATGGAGAAACCTTGGAAACATTATCGTGAGAGAATATGGTCACAAAAGACCACATATTACATTGCATATCCATTTATATGTAATATCCAAATAGGCAAATCCATAGAGACAAAAAGTGGATTAGTAGTTGCCTGGGGCTAGGGCTGAGGGGAAGGGTTGGTGATGGACAGTGACTGCTAATGGGTAGAAGGTTTCTTTTTGGTGTGATGAAAATGTTCTAAACTTGATTATAGTGACAGTTGCACAACTCTGTGAATATAATAAAAAAACTATTGAATTGTACACTTTAATGGATTAATTGTATGTTTTGTGATTATACCTCAATATAGCTTTTACAAAAATGTGTTAAATATATATTAAAATTTTAATATGTATTAGTAGATAAATTTTAATGAAGTATTAATTGATCCTTTTCTGAAAATATGATATTAAAAATTAAATGAATTATCACTAGTGCTATTATTGAGTCAAGAACATATTTTTGAGTAGAATTTTTCAACTAAGAATTTTTTTCCAGGTACTATACTAGTCAGAACAATAATGAAGAGACAGTTATATGCTAATTCCCAATATTTTCCTTTGACTTCTTTAACTTTGAACAGTCCATCTCCTGCTTAATAACCCTGTGGAGATATTTATAAAACATCTTTTGATTTTTGACTGAGACTAGATTTTTAAAAACAATTTATAAAGAGCTATAAATGTTTTTGCTTTAAATAAAGTATTTCTATGTTTTCATCCTCTTCATTTTATCATGTATAGCTGGAGATTTCGAAGCAGAGTCACCTATATAAATTTTAGTACTATTGTATTCATGTTTCACTAGATAAAAAATTATTTGGGAGTAAGAATTATTCATACAACAGAAGTTTATCAGTAACACTGTTTAGTTGCTTTTTGCTAAGTATACAAGACTTGTCTAGACTTGTAGACTATATGTCTTTCATTCATAAATTGAATAATTGAGTTTAGATACTTATACAGTATATAAATAATTTATATTTTTTATTTAAAATACCAGAATAACACAATTATGACAAAAGCAATACTGGGATTTTGGTATGTAAAAAGAGTACAGTATACCAGAATACTAAAAACTGTTATAAAAATCACTAAACATGATTGAGGTATGAAAAAGTACCATTACAATAATAAAGCACTACATAAATATGAGATCAAATCATTATTGACAATAGGGCACTACTTTTATAAGAAGTTAATATCCAAATTAGAAAAATCTTGAATTTTAGAGTCCTTTTAACTTTTTAAAAGCAATTTCATATTTACTATCTCAGTTACAGAAATACCAAAAATGTTATTGTCTGGAGAACTACCTAACAGTAAGTTATCATCATTGAAATTGTTTAAGCAGAAACTAGGTGGCCCTTTGTCAGGGATATTACAGGATTCCTGCCATGATGAAAGTTTGGATTTAATGATTGCCAGAATGCTAAGAATCTGTGATTCCTTGTATGTTGATTGCACCAGATGGGCTGTGTGTTGGGGGGCGGGTATGTGTGTAAACAGGCTGTAAATACAGGTTTTCAAAAGCATTGTTTTACCATTAGCTAATAACTAACAAAATTAGGTGTAATATTATTAATATTAGTGTGGTTTTGTGTTTATATTGCAGTGTTCATTGAGTTTCTTATATTTGTTGGGTTTTTTTTTGCATCAAATTTGGAAAAATTTTGACCAGTTTTATGTTACTTTTCTGCCCCATGCTCATCTCCTTCTGGGACTTTAATTATAACCTATGGCAGACTATTTAATTCTTTTTTTTTATTTCATCATATTATGGGGGTACAAATGTTAAGGTTACATACATTGCCCTTGCCTCTCCTCCCCCCTCTAGTCAGAGCTTCAAGTGTGTCCATTCTCCATTACAGCACACTCATTATGTAAGCATATACACATCCCCTCTTCCCCCATCCCACCTGCCTGACACCCAATAAATGTTTTTTTTTTTTTTTGGACAATTTGGTTACATTTTGTATCTTTGCCTCTCCCTAGCAAGGGTTAGAGGTATGCTCTTCCCCTCCACGGTGCTTACCACACCAGATGTGGGGATAGTATAAGCGGTGCTAACTCGCTGTCATTTCTTAGGATTAATATACCATTGTGAACATATACCAAATTTTAATTATCCATTCATAAATTGACAGACCTGTGTTAAACACTGTGCTTACTAGTATATAGTGCACATACTACTTTATATAGTGATATATGTGTGAAACACTGTTTAGTAGTGTGAGGTATGTATGCTACTGTGTTTAGAGATATAGGTGTGAAACACTGTGTGTTTCACACAACTGCTAGTTGTGACCCTCTAACTGACTTCAGGCCAATATAACCAAGACATAAACGATATATGTCACTTCTGTGACTGACCCACAAAAACCTCCCAGATGATCCTTTTTGGTTGTGTTCTTTTTCTTTTTTGTAATCTTGTTTTATTGGTGGAGGTGGAGGGTATAGAAGCAAGACATCAAGGGAAAGTAGATCCACAAGGTAGAAGAAACTTGAGTCCCTCAATCATTGCATGTAGCAGATCTATTCATTGCACTTTGCCATCCCTCATTTGATTGTGGTGTGAGTGAAAAGCAAATCCTTTTGTATATATCTGTATATGTTAAACCACTAAGATTTAGGTTTTACCAGCTGAAGTAGTTAACCTATGCTAACTTATATTGTATCAAACAATGTTTTTAGTAAGGCTTACAGCTATTTGGGTTTTCTTCAGTAGATGATATCTTTCTTTGCAACCACACCAAGATGTATTCAGCCCTTCATTGATACTGATGGCTCCTGGCCTGCCTGCATCACTGAATCAGACTCGAGATATTTTTTTTTTTTTTTTTTTTTTTTTGAGACAGAGTCTCGCTTTGTTGCCCAGGCTAGAGTGAGTGCCGTGGCGTCAGCCTAGCTCACAGCAACCTCAAACTCCTGGGCTCGAGTGATCCTTCTGCCTCAGCCTCCCGGGTAGCTGGGACTACAGGCATGTGCCACCATGCCCGGCTAATTTTTTATATATATATCAGTTGGCCAATTAATTTCTTTCTATTTATAGTAGAGACGGGGTCTTGCTCTTGCTCAGGCTGGTTTCGAACTCCTGACCTTGAGCAATCCGCCCGCCTCGGCCTCCCAAGAGCTAGGATTACAGG